TGGAGAGGTGGATGCTCCCCAGGGAGCACCCGGGGGCTGGGGACCTGCCCTGCCCTGGGCGCCTCTGGGAGACAGCTCTCTGGACCAGCTTCCCCTCTCAGTCTCGGGGCTTCGACGGGCAGGACCCCAATAGCCTGAGAACGCCCCCCACTATTGTGCGGCCTTATGATCCCCAAACAAACAAGGACATCTCCCCCAGCAACTCGCCAAGCAGGTTACTCTGAAAGCGAAGTGACCAGTTCCCTTGTCTAAAACGAGGCTCCGAGGGAAGCAAGGCCGAGACGGGTTCCTGGACGCGGAGCTTGGACTTCGCAGAGCGGAGTCGCCTGCTCGCAGCGCCTCCAGGCAGGGCCTCCAGGCAGGGGGTCTGCCCGGCAGCTGGGGCTCTGGCACCTGAGCCAAGGCCCTTTCCTGAGCTGAGACCCCGCTTTGGGGCCGGGGCACTGAGCACTGTGGGGGGATGGATCTAGGATCAGATGTTTGGAAGGCGGCATCCCCCCTCACTCTCCTAACGGACGACTGACGAGGGTTCGCTGAGGCCGGCCCGGCCGCGGGCTCACTCAGCAGCAGGCAGATCATTCCGGACGCGCCCACGGGGCTGTTGGTGACTCCTCAGACGGGCCAGGGACATGCTGCCATCAGACGTTGGACAGGCGAGAAGAGGGCGCTGAGAGAGGCGCCGGTGCACGCCTGGGCCCCCCCAGCTGGGAGACTTCTTTCTCTTTTTTCTTTCACTCTTTTAAAAACTTGAGTTCTGGCTGGGAAAGAATTCAGAGCCCAGACTCAAACTATAAGAGGACATTTACGTAGGAAGTCACAGTGGTAGCAGAAGAGATTCATAGAAGGAACCGATGGAGGAAATAAGTTACGGAGGCAGAGGAAGGGCCCTTGGGGCTGAGGAGGGAGACAGGTAAAGGCGAGGTGCCTGGGGCAGGGGCAGGGGGAGGGCTGGGCGTGCTGGGGGAGGAGTGGTCCCTGAGCCAGGAGACTTGTCTCCGTGGGTCCATATGGTATTAGCAGCCCCCTGGGCCAGGCTCGGTGAGGAAGACCCTGGTGT